TGAAGAATGGCTCGTTCCAGACATCGTCGCAGGCTCTGATACCATGAAAAGAGAAACAAATGGTTGAAGATTTCTGTTCTAATTTCATTGAGAAGATCTGTACAAATATATACAACTTCTAAGAATCAATCTAGGAGCTATTATAGGAAACTAACCCACTAATTTACCCTAAAGAAAAAAGGAAACTAAATCACAGCCTAAAAAAGGAAAATAATCACAGCCTAAATAAGAAATAAATAACTAAAAAAAATAGGAAAGATTCTGACTCGGATTCCACAAGGAATAATCCTCGTCATCCCTTTCCAACAGAATTTGCACTAGAATTTGAAGTATCTGACATGATATTGGCACTCTTGTACAGGTATATGGGTATCATAGATACAATGATAATTTTCAAGTGCAATTATGTCTTCGTTCTTGGTTAAATATCGATTATATTTGGCATTATTTTTAATTGAATATAGTGGTCGCTTTTCTTTCTCTATGTTTGCTTTTTTTTTCCCTAATTTTTATTGATAACTTATTATTTTTTTAACAAGTATTGTATTGTATTGAATTGAACTGAACAAAGGATACAAAAGACCCTTTGTACACCAAAGACCTGTACAAACCAAAAAAAGATTAACCAATGAACCACCCTTCCCCTTACAAAACAGAGCCCTATTGAAATAAAGTATCGATATAAAAACTTATATTGAAACAAACTATGAGTAGATAACCATGAACGCGAGGTGCCTTTGAATCTGTTTACAACCACATCAATCAAATTTGCTCTGCCTTTGGAAATGTTCTCATTGCTTTGAGACTGTATACAGCAGAAATAACTGTGTTATTATCCATATCATTGTGCTCTTCTCATTAAGTCCAGTGGCTCCATCTAGCTGCCAGGCCTTCAAAACTCGTAGGACAGATTTAGGGAAGGAATCTCTCCAGCTGAAAGCACCCCATATGGATAACATGTAATGCCTGGTATATTACAGTTACCTCTGTAGATAGGTTTCACATCCATAATTT